CATCATCATCATCATCATCATCATCATCATCATCATCATCATCATCATCATCATCATCATCATCATCATCGTCGTCGTCATCGTCGTCATCATCATCAGCATCATCATCATCATCAGCATCATCATCAGCATCATCATCACCATCATCCTCAGCATCATCATCATCAGCACCATCACCATCCTCATCATCAGCATCATCATCAGCAGCATCATCAGCAGCAGCATCATCACAATCTCCATCACCACCATCACCATCATCATCATCATCATCATCATCATCATCATCATCATCATCATCATCATCATCATCGTCAACACCAGCAGCATCATCACCATCATTAGCATCATCATCATCACCAGCATCATCATCACCAGCATCAGCAGCATCATCATGATCATCATCATCATCATCATCATCATCATCAGCATCATCATCATCTGCAGCATCGTCGTCATCAGCATCGTCATCATCAACATCATCATCAACATCACCATCAGTATCACCATCACCATCACCATCATCATCATAATAATAATCATCGTATTCATCACCAGCATCATCATGGCCAGCATCATCATCAGCATCATCCTCGTGATCACCATCCTCGTCATCATCATCAGCAGCAACAGCAGCAGCATCATCAGCGTTACCATCATCAACATCAGTATCACCATCATCATGAACATCATCATCGTCATCATCCTCGGCATCATCAGCAGCATCATCAGCATCACCATCATCATTATCATCATCAGCAGCAGCATCGTCGTCATCATCGTCATCATCATCATCACCAGCATCATCATCATCATCATCATCAGCATCATCATCATCTTCGACGTCATCATCTTGGACATCATCATCAGCATCCTCATCGTCATCATCAGCATCATCACCAGCATCTTCGTCGTCACCTACATCCTCATCATCATCAGCATCATCATCAGTATTACCATCAGCATCATCAAGATCATAATCATCATCACCATCAGTATCATCCTAATCATCATAATGGTCATCGTCATCATCATCGCTATCATCATCACCAGTATCATCAGCATCATCACCACCACCACCACCATCACCATCATAGTCACCATCAGCATTTGCTTTGTTAATTTCCCAACTGCTACCGCTCCTGCTATCCCGCCAACTCTGCGAGCTCCACGTCCGCTCCTCCCCCAGCGGGTGGCTCAACAGAGCCACCTCGGCCATCGACAGGGAAAGGCTTCAGAATTCCCCTACCGATGAGAACGCGACTCCAAAGCGCTCGGTCGACCTCACTGTCTTGGGCGGGACGGCGCACGCAAGGACGAGGAGGACGAGGTGAAGGACGAAGAAGGCAACGAGGGCCCCGGCAGCCGATAAACGCCGGGAACCCTGACGCCGATAAACGCCGGAACCACTGCGTGACTTGGACAAGGGAAGAACAGGACAAAACAAGCCAACATCAAAACAACGGCGGGACGGTCAACACGTCGCGGACGGGTGCGGCCACCGTAAGCGGCCAGGCGGCAATCATGGTCCGTATCCTGTTCCCCCTCATCCTGTTTCAACTTCCTCCTCCCATCCTCAACATCATCGTTACCATCATCATCATCATCATCATCATCATCATCATCATCATCATCATCATCATCATCATCATCATCATCATCATCATCACCATCACCATCATCATCATCATCATCACCATCATCATCATCATCATCATCATCATCATCACCACCACCACCACCATCATCATCATCATCATCATCATCATCATCACGTTCATCATCAACAACAACACCAGCATCGTCGTCATCGTACTCATCAACACCATGACCAGCATTACTATCATCACCATCATGGCAGTCAGCATCACCACTACCATCATGATCATTGGCGTGATCGTCGTCTCCATCGTCGTCGCCATCGTCATCATCATGATCAGCATTGTCATCATCAAAATTCTCGTCATCGCCATCGCTTTCATCGCCGTCGACACTGATCATCGCGATCTGATCATCACGATCACGGCCATCATCACAAGAATCACCATCGTAGTCACAAAAACATCGGGACCACCAGCACCACCACCACCACCAACAATACCACCACCATCATCAGCATCACCATACCCGCCACCATCAAAATCGTCAGCTTCGCATTCAGCATCGTTGTCGCCAAAACCACCACCAGCAACAACATCCATCACCGCCATCATCAGCGGCACCATCGTCATCATCGAGGGAACGCGATCCACCGCCGCTGGCCTGAACACTTTCTCTGACGGCGGACCACATCCCCACCACTTCAAAACCTCACCAGGGGATTAAAGGGGGCAGAGACCAAGGGGCCCTGCCCGCCCCACGACCCCCGACCCCCCCCCCCACAACCCCCCTGCATCACAAAGAGTCTGTGAAATCCCACCCGCCCACCCCCCGCGCCCCGTCGGGAAAATCACCGGACGGGGCCCAGCACCGCCCCCCCCGCCCCCCCGAGAAAATCAGTGGTGCGGCCCAAGAAACCCTCACCCCCGGGAACACGAGCGGGGGAGGCTCCAGAATCCCCACACCCCCAGGCAATGACGGCGACGACGACGACGGCGACGACGACGACGACGACGACGACGTCAGCGGCGGCGGCGGCGCACCTGTCGCCAGCGCCCACGCCAGGCGCCTGCTCTGATAGAATGCAACTAGGGCTCGATCCACCTCTCTCAGCGTCCTGCTCAGACCGTACAGAACTGTACTCTACCCTACCATGCTCTACTCTACTGAAGGGGCCCCAGGACACACAAATAAATACACACAAATAAAAATACCCCCATATTTTCCAATATTTTCTGTGTTTCTGTCTTCCCCCCCACTTTCCATATTTTCCCATATTTTCTGGGGAATCGAGGATTAATTGTGTCTGTGTGTTTCGTTGCCTCCTGATCTACGTTCCCCGACTTTACTGTGCCTTACTGTGCTCTACCCTACTCTACTCGACCGTGCCCCGAAATACTCTACTCGACTACACTTTGCTCATAGTATACTCTGCTATACTCTACTCTACTGTTCTCGACCGCTTCTCTACACTACTCACCTCTACACTACTCTAGTCTACTCTGCCCTACTCTGGTCTACCCTACTCTACTCCACCGTACCCTGTCATATTGTAAGATACTCAACGTTGTTATTACTCTAATATACTCTAGTCTACTCATTCTCTGTTATGTGATAATATACCCTACTCACCTCTACTCTGCCCAACTGTACCCTTCTCTACCCTACCGTACCCCAACCCAGTATCCTCTTATCTATCGTACTATCCTCCTACTCTGCTCTTCTTAGCTCTGGTATACTCGATGTGTGCTCTAATATACCCAGCATGCCTTATCTACTCGACTCTATGTACGCTGCTCAACTCTGGTCTATCCTACTCTACCCTACAGTACCCTAACATAGTAACCTCTACTCCACGTTGCTGTTACTCTGCTCTACTCTACTCTACTCGCGCCTACACCACTCTACTCTACCCTACTGGACACCAACATACTCTACCATACCCTAATTCGCTCCTACTCTGTTCTACTCCTACTCTACTCCACTCAGCTCTGCTCTACTCGATGTGTGCTCTACTCCACCGATATACTCGACTCCACTCGTCTCTACTCAAATCTGGTCTACACCTCACTACTCTACTCTACCCTACTCTACTCTACCCTACTCTACTCCACCCTACCGTATCCCACCCTACTCTATTCGACCCGACTCTCTATTCGGCTTCTATCATTCTCTACGCCCACTCGACTATGCTCGTCCTCGTCCTCGTCGTTTTCGTCGACGTCGGCGGCGGCGTCGGCGTCGGCGTCGGCGTCGGCGTCGCGGTCGTCGGCGTCGGCGTCGTCGTCATCGTGCGTCGCGCGTCGCGCGTCGTGCGTCGTGCGTCGTGCATCGTGCGTCGTGGTCGTGGTCGTGGTCGTGGTCGTCGTTGTCGTCTTCGTCGTCTTCGTCGCCACCGTCGTCGTCGTCGTCGCCATCGTCGCTGGGCGAAGGGGGTCTCCTGGACCCCCGAAGAAGTTTGCCGGAGGGATGGGGGGGGGCTCTGAACCCCACAGCGAAGTTTGCCGGGGAGAGGGGGGGGAGGGGAGGCGAGGGAGGGATGGCTCTGGCCGCCCCCTCTAATGTTCCGGGGGAGGCGGGGGGCTAGAGTTCTCCCGGGGCGGGCGAAGGGGCCCCAGACCTCCCATCCATGGGTTTTGTCCTCCTCCTCCTCCTCCGCCTCCTCCTCATTCTCATCTCCTCCTCCTCCTCCTCCTCCTCCTCCTCCTCCTCCTCCTCCTCCTCCTCCTCCTCCTCCTCCTCCTCCTCCTCCCCCTCCCCCTCCTCATCTCTTCCTCCTTCCTCATACGAACATACGCCTCCTCTTCCTCCTGCTCGTCATTATGCTCATCCTCCTGCTCATCCGCCATCTGCTCCTCCACCTCCTCCACTGTACACAGCTTACCTTATGTTTGCGCATAACACAACGGGGTCATTTGGGGGGTCAGCGGCGGATATAGAGAAAAGTCAGCGCAATTGGAATGGTGGGTGGGAAGGGTGGGATGTTAAATATGGCGCGAGCGGACCTTGCTTGTCCTCCTCCCGCTCTCTCCCACCTGGAGGGGAGGAAGGAAAGGAAGGGGAGAGGAGGGAGAAGGCCCAAGGAGGCGGAGAGGCAATCATATGCGTATCCGCGCCCTCGCGGTCTGGATCCCAGGGCACGATCCCGCGGATACGCGATCGCACGCACACGTTCCGCGCAGGGCATCCGCAAAAGCGCCCCGCTTCCGCGGAGTCGCGGCCCAGGGGCCCGGCCTGCGAGGCCGCGGCTACGGGTATGTGTTTCGCCCACGTGGAAGGACGGATGGGCGCCCGTTCCGCTGGGAGCGTGCGCCTCCTTCTGCCAGACCTTTTTCTTCTCCTCCGCGGCCTCGAACTCCGCCAGCTGCTTCCTCCAGACGCCCACCTGCCGCCAATGACAGCATCCGGGCGCCCAGGATCTGGACGCCCGATATGGGCACGGACAAAATTGGCACGATGCCCAAAATCAAAAATTATCCCAAACCGACAGAGGCCGCGGTTGGGCAGGCGGCCTTCTGTCTCAAATGGTCAACGCCTGTGGCAGCACCGACAGCGATTCCTGCCCACAAGGGACAAGAACTGCTGTCGGCGCTCGTACCCAGTCTCTCCGTACACCTTTCGATCGTACCGACAGGAAGAGGACGCCAACTGTGGGGAGCGGCTCCGAGGGGGCGTCCTAGAGGGGAGGGCACAAAAATCGTGGCCGGCGGCATGCGCGCGGCCCCCAGGGGGGGGGGGCCAGGGACGTTGAACTAAGAAGAGGCGCCGTGAAATCGGGGGAAGCATCATGGCCCCCGCCATGATATCCACCCCCCCTACTGACAGGTCGGGCATGTCCCCCTGCAGGGGGATTTTGCGCAAAAAACTGAAACAGCTCATCACCCCCCTCTTGCCGCCCCCGACGCCTGTACCAACCCAGGCCCGCCTTGGGCCCGGGAGTGATGCACACGCCCTCCCGGGAGTTTCTATGCGAGAACGGCACCCGTGACCCGTACCATGTTCGGACTCCCGTCGGCGACCCCGCTCGCACGCGGCATGGTGCACACTGCGTCGGCTTTGCCTGTCTGCCACCGGCTGGGGCGAATGTGTTGCCGGCTTTGACACGTGAGTGATATCTCCGTCGAATCAAGCCTGCCTGCGGTCGAAGGTCAGCTTGATATAGCACACAGTGAAACTATTCCTCCTCCTCGTCCTCCTCGTCCTCTTCGTCCTCCTCCTCCTCCTCCTCTTCCTCCTCCTCCTCCTCCTCCTCCTCCTCCTCCTCCTCCTCCTGGGGCGCTCACAGGGTGCGCGATCCTCTACTTACAGGGGAGCCCCGAAAAGAAAGAAAAAGAGACGGCTATCCTCGCGACGCATCTGGCCACGAGGCCCGCTTTGGAGGAAGCTCATCTCGCTCAAGACGATCCAGGGTAGCTTTCCCTGCTTTCGCCGGAGGCATGCAGACCTTACTGAGGGAGAGGAACTTTGCATCCCCTGACCCTCCACACGTGGTGCACCACCACAGCCCCCTGGCGTTACGGAGGTGGTGGCTGTCATGGATCTGGGCTGGGCGGCCTAGACAGGATGCACGGAGCCACTCGAGCTTAGGGAGGGCCCGAGTGGGGGACTGGAGGCAGACCACGCACCGCAATCCTCCTCGCCACGGGATGGGCCTGTGGGAGGTGGTTGGTGCCGCGGCAGCGGTCTCAACTCTCCCGTCGAGTCGCTTCGCTCGCTGGGCCGCAATTCGTTCGGCAAAAGAAGGCCCAGGGTTTGCCTTGGAATCTTCAGCTCGGGTCTTGGCCTCTTCGAGGCCGACCGTCAGGAGATGTCTGGCAACCTGAAAGGCCAAGGCATCTAGGGCGGCGAGGTCGGCGAGAGCCTGGGGAGGGAGCGCGGCCTCCTTCGCGCCGAGGTCGGCCGCGAAATCGGCCGCCTCCTTCGCCACAAAATCATCTTCGCCAACGAGGCGCCCGATATCAGCACGGGACAGGTGCGATTGAACTTTACAAAACTCGGGGCCCCCTGGGTGCCCCCGGACAGCGGCCCAAAAACGGGCCCAGGCTGCCGAGTTCGAGGGGCTGACGTGGGGACCCCGAGCTATGCCATCTATAACGTATTTGGCATCTATAACAAATTCCCCTGGACCTGATGTGTGGCGCAGGGCTTAGGTCACAGCTTCAAACTCAGCGAGCGGGACCGCGCGGGAGCGGCCCACCAGGGGGGCCCAGGCTTTCCCGAGGACTTGCCCTTGGCAGGCCACCGCGAAACCCCACCCGCAGCGCCGACACCTCACGTCCGAGGAAAGCTCCCCCCCGCTGCCGTCAGAGCCTACTACTGCTTGGGGAGGTAGCTGGAACCGCTGTTGGCGCTGGAGGACCCCGCCGGAGGAGAACCGAAAGTCGGGCCAGTGGTCACATATTCTGCACGCCCAGCCTAGGGGTACCAGTCCGCGCGACCAGAAGCACGGGTAATCTTCGTGCTCGGCAGCGGCTTGGCCAGCCAGGTCGAAGGCCGTGCCTTCAGACGCCTGAAGTTGGGAGCATCCCCACTGCTGGTGGAAAATGGTCTCGGGCTGGCCGCACCGCTTGCACTTTTGCTTTTCTCCATCATCTGGAAACCTTCGAGCCCCTGGTCAGAGAGCCCCCGCGGCCAGGAGTTCCAGGAAACTAGCATGCCCAGACATGTTCCTTCGGCGGCAGGTCCGACACACCCTCCCGATGACAGTCAAAGCAGCTCCAACCTCAAGGCCTTTCCCGCAGAAGTGCTTGCACGCGTGCTCTTGCCAAATGCGGAGCTCGAAAGTGGCCTCCAGCTCCGAGACAACGCAGCGTGTCCAGCCAGCAGGGGGGCCTGACAGGGCCTCGAGGTAGAAGGGGGCCCTGTCGACAGGAGCTTCTCCAGGGATAAGATAAAGATATCACCAGCATGGTCTGTCCAAACCCATGGTAACTTGGGACCCCAGTTGGCCTGCAGGAGGGTGGTGATAACGGCCCCGATGGGACCTCGGACCTTGTTCCAGGGACTAGCGGCCGCACGCATGGCGGCTAGACACTTCTTCCACGCAGCCCCCAGGGCCACTCTTTCTTGCATCATCTTGGGGAGGATGGCGATCCAGGTCTTCAGGAGGTCCACGCGCCCGAAGAAAAGCGGGTCCCCCTTCTTCCCTGGTCCTAGCCTAAGAGCGAGTGCGGCGCATCCCCCTGGCCTCCGCTTACCCGAGATGGAGGCCATGGCAGCCCTGAGGTCCTGGAGCACCGCGGGGGGCCCACCTTGTCCAGCGAGACCCCACGAGGCCTGAGGTTTGACACCAGTGAGCCCCAACTTGGAAGCCTTTCTTCAACCTTAAGCATGCCTCTTACTCGCTTGACTCGGACTTTGGTGTTCTTCATCCTTGCTCCGACTACCGTGGTCGAGCGTCTCTGAGACGAAAAATCGAGGCCGAGGTCGCGAGCCTTGGTAACTGCCTGCAGCTCGACGCCCGCATCCTTGAGGCCTTGGTGAATATGCTTGAGCAGGTCCCCTGAACTGGCAAGCACCTGCGACTTGGGCGAAAACTTCAAATCTCTGGATCGCATAACTTGGACTAGCGCCTTGGTTCCAGATATGGTTAGGTTGCAGACGATGGGCCTGGGGCCTCTGACCTGCATGCTAATGTCATCCACCCACGTACTGAGCTCGAGGGGTCGGTACCTAGCATGCGTCGTCTCCATCATGTCGTATAGGTAGGCCCCAGTCCAAGCAACTGACTGAAGGCAGCCTTGTAACATGGAACGATCTGCTGTCAGAAAGTCAGGGGCCTCTTGTCCGATGGTTAGGACTCGGCCAGCCGTGTGCATAGCCATGCCTTGGTACATGATACCGATGGGGTAATCCAGCTGCTTCCCAAGACAATAAATCCAGAAGGGTGCCAAGGTGTCGAAAAACGTTTCGGCGTCCAGGAGCACCAAGGACCAATCACAATTTATCCAGGAGGCAGTTTCGGCTCGGGCGAGGCGAAGCAGGGCAGCACGAAGGGGATCGGAACCTTTTGACTGCAGCGTCCCAGAAGCCAGCACGTGATATTTCCCATTGGGAGACGGGGTCCTTCCGAAGACGGTTCCAAACACTGTAGAGGCTCTGGGTACGGGTAATAGGGCGGTCTCCTTCACCTGTGGGCTTGGGGTGCATGCCTACCTCGTTGAGTAAAACTTGGGCTGGCCACCTGCACTCCGCCTCGATCGACACAAGCAAGTCGAGCAGGGCAGTTTGGCCATCCTCTGGGAGATCTGCCCACTGCTGCGGGTGCAGCTTGCATGCTCCTTTGCCCATGCTGGCAGGGAAGCACTTGCATACACTTAAAAGATGTTGAGGATCGAGTGGCGGCTCGTCACGAAATGTTTGCCACCAGTCCTGTTCAACGGCCCGTCCTTGCCTCTGTGGATCAGTCCAAAGAGATTTCCACCTGTGGGCCTTGACCTTCAGCGATTCACTAGCTTCCCAAAGTGGGGTTCCAGAGTCGTCCACTTCGATTTTGGGCGTGGGCTCTGGCAGGCCCCAGGTCCTGGCGTGGCAATGAGACCATTTGGCTCCTCCTTTTAGGCTCTCCTGAAGCCACTCCTGGAATCCTTTCTTCTCCTCCTCCTCCTCCTCCTCCTCCTCCTCCTCCTCCTCCTCCTCCTCCATCCTCCTCATCATCATCATCATCATCATCATCATCATCATCATCATCATCATCATCATCATCATCATCATCATCATCATCATCATCATCATCATCATCATCATCATCAGCATCAGCATCATCATCATCATCATCATCAATCATCATCATCATCATCATCATCATCATCATCATCATCATCATCATCATCATCATCAATCATCATCATCATCATCATCATCATCATCATCATCATCATCATCATCATCATCATCATCATCATCATCATCATCATCATCATCATCATCATCATCATCATTCATCATCATCATCATCATCATCATCATCATCATCATCATCATCATCATCATCATCATCATCATCATCATCATCATCATCATCATCATCATCATCATCATCGTCATCATCATCCGCATCCTCCCCCTCACCGTCCTCCTCCTCCTCCTCACCGTCCTCCTTCCTCTCCCTCCTCTCCTCTGCCTCCTCCCTCTCCGTCATCCCCCCCTAACCCGCCATGCGAGCGCAGCGGCAGACTCTCTCCCCCCCTCCGAAAAATCCTCACCCCTCCTCATCCTCCTCCTCTCCTCCTCCTCTCCTTTTCCGCTTCCTCCTCTTCCTTCTCGTGGTCGCGGTTTGTGGTCGCGGTTTTCGTCGGTCGCTGGGCGTTGGGTCGCGATCCCGGTCGTCGGTCAGCTCGCCATGCTCTATCTGCCCCGACGTGGCGGGTTTACACCACTGACGACGACGGCAACGGCAACGACGATAACGACGACAATGGCGACAAGGACGACGACGAGCACAGCGCGGAGGACGACTGGGAAGGGAGCAGGGAGGGAGGGAGAAAGGAGGAAGGCGGAGGGTGACGGCCGAGGAGGGAGGAGGGAGGGAGAAAACGAAAACGATGCCCCATGGAATCGCGCCGCGGGTCATCCTGGCCGCATCGGGCCGTCCCCGAGCCGAGCCAGGATGCCGTGCCCTCTGAGGGCTAGCCTCACAGGGGCTTTCCTGTGGTGGGGTGTACCCTCCCAAATTCTCTTAAGCCTACCCCCAATCACATTTTGGGTCCCAGGGCAACATGCGGAAAATAGGCCCGACCACCTGTCGCGGGCGTACCTGGCACACCTACGACAGAAAACGCACGACTGACGGAACACAAGATCATGCCCCGCCCCTATAGCTTTGTCGACCCTGACAGCCCCCCAATCCACGATGGCCCGCGCAGGGGGGTTGGCCACCAGGGGTGGGGGGGGGGGGGCCTCCTCGGCCTCTTCGCCCGCACCGCCAGCGTTCCTAGGAGGCCCAGGGAGGTCCAGGAGCTCCGAAACGGGGTCGGGGCTGTTCGAATCCGTCGTCGGACTCGAGCCCTTCTCAGCGTCGACTATGTAGCTGCCCAGTACTCCTGCATACGCTCCGAAATCGAGAAAATCACAAACGAGCTTGCATCGATCGATGCACGCCTCTCTACACCACGGGGGGTGGGCATGGCACAGCGACCCCTGCTGAGCGCTCTGAACTGCTATCTGCCCCCCTCCCACCTCGCACGGCCGATGTTCTCTATCTCTCTCTCTCTCTCTCTCTCTTTCTTTCTCCCTCTCTCTCTCTCTCTCTCTCTCTCTCTCTCTCTCTCTCTCTTGAAGGCTCTGAAAATTTCTTCCCAGAGGTGGAGGTGCAGCGAGCCCTTCTTGTCGAGCCTGCGGGGGCCCTCCAGGACACCGTTGGTCGCGGGGGTGCCCCATGCTTCAGCAATTGTAGCACTGCGTAGAGCTCCCCCCCCCCCCCCCCCCCCCGCAATATATGATGTGTCCACTGTGGCCCAGGTAGCGGCCCGTAGCACACGTACTCCATGTCGTAGCTGTCGTATCTGAGCTTGGCGGAGCTCCAGCCCGCTCTGCGCAGCGGGGGGTAGTCTCCGCACTGCAAGGAGCCGTCCGCGTAGATGCCCCCTGTCGCCAGCCCGATTCAGTCGCCCTCCTGCTGGACCTCGTCACAGGACACGATGCTCCACAGGTTCAGCTCCTCGGCTGGGTCCGCCGCGATGCCGCGCCCCCAGAGGCCCTCAAACGACCGTCATCCTGGCCACGGCTTGGCGCCTCTCTGCGCGATGCGTCGCCCCCCATCTTGGCCCTGCATGCGTTGCCTTGCGGGGCGGACGAATGCCCCGTGGCGGCCCGCCCCTCTCGCCACCCCGCGCGCCCTGCACGCGCCGCCTGCCGCAGCCCCCTCGGCACGGAGGCGCGCTTGAGGCCCCATGCATCCGCGGCATAGAACTCGCACCCCCGCGCGGTGTGATTGCGCCCACATTCACTTCAGCGACCGCTGCGGTAGTGATCGCACAGGCGCCAGGAAGATGAATGCGACGCCGTCCTCGCCGCCACGCTTGCGCCAGCTGTCCTTGAGCTGCTGCCCCGCGGCGGGGACGACCAGGTAGCACGGTTCCTGCAGGCTTGCGCGCCGCAGTCGTAGATTGCACTGCCACCTGTAAAAGTGCATGGCGACTGCGCCATCCAACCCAATCGCCGCACTGCAGATATGAATGCTCCCGCTGGCCCCCGCACTGTGAGCCATGGTGACTTGCATCGCGCTAGCTGCATGCCCCACGCACGCCACGCCATGCTGAGCCTGCTCGCTAATTGCTCGTCGAGGACCGCCTCCTGCCACGCCGTCGCCCACGCGAGGATGGGCCCGCTGTTGATCAGGTTGCCAGGGTCCACGTTGTCGCTCAGCAGCGCGAACGGCGTGGGCCGCCGTCTTGCGTTGCCCTACATCGAGAATTGCCACGCTCGCCCGCAGCTCGCGCAGCTTACTGTCCGCCATTCCGACCGCTGAAGACCCGTAAAGTAGGGCTGGCACCCTGGCGCGCCGCACGATCTTACGCACTGCCCCTCCTGTCGACCTCACGGCTGCCTCCCGTGAGGCCCACGCTGCAAACTTGAGCGTCCGCTTGCTGATGGCGGTCACCCTTCTTCTCTTGTCAGCTGCTGCCGTTACGTCCAGGTGCTTCTCGTGCTTTGCGACCCGTACTCCCAGGCGTCGGGAGCTGGCGTTCAGGCTGGTGCTCAGCTCAGTGGACGGGGCCAGGGGGCGACCGTCTTGCCCCCGGAGCCGTGCGAGACTGCCATGTCGAGCCTGCCCTCGGACATGTCGATCAAAGCCGCGATGAGCAGCGGGCAGAAGAGCTTCGCGAACTCCTTCAGCCCGCGCGCGGCCATGGCTAGGTCGTCGAAGCAGAGGCATGTGTCCGCCCACGGGAACTTGTGGACAAGCCCGCCCGGCTCCAGGATGATCACAATCTCGGGGCAGAATGGAGCATACCTGCTCCCAGCCAGTATGCCTTTGTGCCATGCCTTCGGTATAGCTGCCGCCCAGGACGATTCGCCTCACCATGCTGTAGATGCGCAGGCCGACCCGCATGACGATGGGGTTTAAGTCCCACCGCCTGGCCGCCCCCCACACCCTCCTGTGCGTGACCCACTCGAAACACTTGACCAGGTCGAAGTAAGTCACCGCGTGCTCGTACCTGTCTGCCCGCGCTGACTCGCAGCGCAGCGCCTGCAGCAAGGCAGCCCGTTATGATGACCACCCTCGTCTTGCCCAGTCGCAGGCTCTCTGGTTTGCCGCCCCCCAGCGGCGCGCGCACGGGGCGCGGATGGCCCCCCACGCGCGCGCCAGCTCAGGGATGAGGCCCAGGTTGCGAAGGCCGCGCGCGGGCTTCACCAAGAGGCAGAAAAGGATGGTTGCCTGCGCTGTTGGCCATGGCGCGCCCTTCTCCACAGCGTTCAGCACGCTTGCCACGCGCGCTGCCCATTGATGGCCTCCCTGTCGAGATAGGCGCGGTTGCCAGTCTGCTTCGCCCAAGCCCGCGCTGGCTCGAAAGCATCCGCACGCGTCCAGGACATCCTTGGGAATGACCCCCGGCACCGCATACCCGTTCAGATCTAGGTTGGTCGGGGCCTGGCACCGCGGCCCGTCAGGGTCGCAGCCGTCAGCCCGCACCTTCGCCCAGCCCGCGAGCGCCGCATCTGCCGCCACCTGCCGGCAGAGGAGCTCGATCGCGGTGCTCGTCTCCGTCGGCTTCATCGGTTCCCACTGCACTGGCGGCTCGGCCCACTCGCGCAGCGCCCCTGCTAATGCTCGGCCGTGCTTGGCGACCCGACGGCGCCATCCCGTGGCAAATGCTTGTCGCGCTCGCCGCCGGGCATGCTTGCTCGCCACTTCGAACAGCTTAGACACGCTCTCGATGTAGCGCACGCCCCTGTCCGTGATCGCGGCGACGTCGATCCACGCCACAGTGTTCACCAGCTTCGCCCAGTCGATGGTGTGCCACGCGCCCCCCTGCCCCGTCGGGACGCGGCGCTCTCCTGCCGCTTCCGCCTCTGCCAACGGGCAGTCGCGCCCGGCACCTTGGCCAGGGACAGCAGGGCTCCGAGGAGCACTTTCTGGGCGGCCCTGGATGTCCACATCAACTCGGTACGTGGTGATCATGTCGGCGTCGATGTCGCGCATGCCTTGAGCGTCGTCGTCGTCGTTGCCGCCGTCGTCGCTGTCGACCTCGCGCTCGAGGCCGTCGCACCAGGCGGGGCGGCGCCGCAACAGCAGCGGCGCGATGATTGCATTGTCGAGGTTGCCTTTGGCGTTGTGGCGCGCTTAGTTTAAGGCCCCCACCTTGCCCGCAGCCCACCACTGTCTGTAGCCGCTGCGATCTGGCCCAGCCTTCTGCTAAGCCACTCTGCCGCTTCGGCCCACTCCTGCCCCCTCGAGGCCCCCTCCACCTTAGACGCTTTCAGCACTTCCAAAACGTGGGTGGGCATCTGCTGTGGCCTTTCCGTTCGTAGAGCTCGGTGCCGACGAAGTTGTGGCACCTGTTGAGGTGGTCCTCGCAGGACGTCGCTAGCCGGCCCCAGTAGTCACCCATGCTCTGCTGCTCGCACTGCCCCGCCTGGAGAAGCCGCGGCCACGCTGTCCGCCCAGACGAGCATCTTGTCGGTAGCTCCAGTGGCCACCGCTTTAGCCGCCTCGATACTCGCATCCACTTTGGCGCCAGCTGCCCTGGCACTCTGAGATGGACGGGCGCACGCGGCGCCACGTTGCACTGGTCCTGCACGTTGGCTGCGATGGCACTGTCGGACAGCGCCTTCGAGATGATGTAGTAGTCTCTGTGCAAAGTGACCCCCTTCGCAGTGCATGATCCCCTGCGCGCGTCGAACACGATGAGCCCTTCCATCCTGTTGAGCGCGCCTGAGTATTCGAGCTCAGCGGGCCCATGTTGAAGTCGCCCCCCAGGATCCACCCACGGCCCGCAGCTTGCGCCGCCGCGGTGAAGTTCCTCAGGATGGCCTTGTTCCTGTCCGCCTTGCCCTCGCTGACCCAGAGGTGCACGGAGCCGGCGGCGATGCCCTGCCTGTCTATGGCCGCGATCGCCCCAATCGCCACGCGGCCTTTGGATTCTGGAGGTGGGATGCCACACTGGCCCAGGCCTCGGCTGCACGCGATCCCGACGGACGGCACGGTAACGAGGACCACCCCCGCACTCCATCCGCCCGTGGTCTTGACGCTTGGTGCTACGCCCATGCGCCAGCAAGCCTTCTGCACGCGCTTGACAAAGCAGGAGACGGCGCGCGGGCTAGCCTGCAACTCCTGTGCCATTGCCAGTGGCGCGCTGCTGGTGCACCTGATGTGATTCAGCACCCAGTCGAACGCGCCGATGGAGTTCGCGCTCACTGTGTAGAACTCCTGCTCGCCCTTCCTTTCGTCGGGAACGTGGCGGCGTCGTCCAGGTCCTCTTGTCGATGCCGAGTGCGTACCCAGGGGACAAAGAAGCCAGCAGAGGAAATAGTAGAGGCGCATGCCTGTCCATCCCCCTTCTCCATGATCTTCCGAGTGTCCTTCTCGCTGGCCCCCTGCGGGAGCTCGAACAACTCCTCTTTGATCTCTGTGTCGGCCCTACGCCTGGCCCGCTGGTAGCTGTCGTGGTGCATGTCGGCCTCGGCGCTGGCTGCCGCCGCAGCTGCCTTTGCCTCCGCCTCCGTTGCATATTTCGCCGCACGCCCCTCCTCAGCATTTTGCTGGATGTCGGCGTGCTGCAAGGCATCCTGGAGCTTGGGGTCGGCGCCCTTTTCTCGCAAGCACTTGGCAGCCTGCTCGAGGAAGGCAACCGCCGCACCCCATCCTTGCCCAGGCTTCGGTACACTGAACTCATCGATGCGCTGCTGGAGCTTGCCGAACCTCTCCTGGTGCTTGGCCAGCGCAGCTCTGCCTCGCCCCAACTTCCCCTGAGTTTCGATAATATCCTTCTCTTGTTTCTCGAAGCGTTCCTTGGCAGGGTCACGCATGTTCTCACAATTTCTCCTCCCCCGCACCACTTTGCATGATGAAAAGCAGCGCGGCACCTCGCTGTCCGCATCGACAGTCTTCTGCAACTGATCAACCTGCTGCTGCAGCACGATGTTGTTCCCAGCCACCAGGGGTCCGAGGTCTGGGCCCTCGGCCTGCATCCGCCACTCTCGGAGGTGCTCTCTTAGCTTGCGGAGCTTTGCCTCGGCAGCGTCCTCTCCCTCTGCCTGGTCAGGGTCCACTGCTGCTGCCTCCACTGGTGGGCTTCGCGCCGCCCTTGGTGCCCCAGCACCTCCAGCAATAGTCGCACGCAGCCTGCTCCGTTCTTGACCCTGCACGCTGTGCAAGGTCCACCCGTGGCGGATGCGGGTGTGGCAGCCCACTCAGCCCGCGAGCGCCGTGCCACTTCGAGGTTGGCGCCCGCCGACGCCGCGCTCCGCCCCTCTGCAGGCCAAAAGGCGGGCTCGGCGCGAGGTGGCTCACAGAGGAGGCAAAAAAGGCGGAAAGTGAGAAGCGAGGGGGAGGCGAAGGACGGAAGGAGGGAGAAGGGAGGGGAGGGAGGAGGGAGGGAGAGAGGGAGGGAGAGAGGGAGGGAGGGAGGAGAAGGAGGAGGAGGAGGAGGAAGAGGAGGAGGGAGGGAAGGAAGATCGGGAGCGGGAGGACGAAAAGGGGAGGCGGACCGACACCTCGGGGCGAGGGCGTGCGCCGCGCGGGAGGGTGCGCCCAAGGAGGAGCGGAGGCGCCTGGACCCTGTTCGCCTCCTCGTCCACCAGGCACCTCTCCGACTTCTCTTTCATCTGGCGGAGGAAAATGACGAAGGACCAATACACACAAACATGCATGTATAAGCATACATACATACATACATACATACATACATACATATATACATACATACATACATACATGCATGCATGCATGCATACATACATACATACATACATACATACATACATACATACATACATACATACATACATACGTACATGCATACGTACATACATGCATACATACATACATACATGCATACATGCATGCATGCATGCATGCACGCATGTATGCATGCATACATACATGCATACGTACATACATGCATGCATGCATGCATACATACATGCATGCATACATGCATACATTCATACATGCATGAGTGCATACATACATACAGCCATCCATCCATCCATCCATACATACATACATACATGCATGCATACGTACGTACGTACGTACGTACATACATACACACATACATACATACATACATGCATACATGCATACATACGTACATACATATATATATATATATATACACATACATACATGCATACATACATATATACATACATGCATGCATGCATGCATGCATACATACATACATACATGCATGCATGCATGCATGCATACAAACATACATACCTGCATACATGCATACATGCATGCATGCATGCATGCATGCATACATACATACATGCAATACATGCATACGTACGTACGTGCATACATACATACATACATACATACATACATACATACCTACATACATACATACATACATACATACATGCATACATACATGCATGCATGTATACATATATATACATATATACATGCATGCATGCATACATACATACATACATACATACATGCATGCATGCATGCATGCATACATACATACATACATATGTATATACATATATACATACATACATACATACATGCATACATACATACATACATGCATACATGCATACCTACATATATATATACATACATACATGCATGCATGCATGCATGCATGCATGCATACATACATACATACATACCTGCATACATATATATATATATATACACTAGAACCATCACGCGCGCTTCGCGCGCGCTCAGGTTTTAGCCCAGGCTGGGGGGGCGCTGGACGATCTTGGACAACGCTATCAAGCACAGGCGCGCGACGGCATCTGAGGAGCTTCTGGGGTGTTCCGCATGCTTCGTCAACTGGCTGTTGGAGGCACCTCTTGGGTGCCTCTTGGGGGGCGTCTGAGGGTCCCTTGGGGGCATCGGCTCTGCAATCTGAAGCCGTCATTGGCTGTCTTGGTTGCGTGGAGGCCCGACTTGAGGCCACCTGCGTCCAGGTTGAGGCAATCCGGAAGCCTCCCGGGGGCCTCCTGGAAGCAGTTTTGACGCATCGAGGGCACTCTTGGGCTATTTTAAAACCTCTTGGACGTCTCCTAGGGGCCTTCTGGGCCCTCGGGAAGCTTTTGGGGTCCTCGTCGGACCACTTGGGGGCCTCTTGCGGCCTCCTGTGGGCCTTTTGGGGGGAACGCTCTGCTGCTGGGTCGCGTTCCCCTTCTTGGGCCTCTCTTGGGGCTCTTGGGGCCCTCTCGGGCCGTCTTGGGCGCCTCAAGCACCGTCTTGGGGCCCTCGCGGGCCGTCTTGGGGCCCTCTTGGAGGCCTCTTCCTCTATATTGGATCGGTATTGGAAGCCTCTTGAGCCGTCTTGGAGCATCGGGATGCCAAAAGGCCGACAAAAATTAAAACCCGTCAAAGCCCAATCGTAAAACAATGAGTTGTGCCTCTTGGGGCCACCTTGGGAGATCTCTTGCAACCTCGTCGGCCCTCTTGGGAGCTTCTTGGGGGCCTCTTGGATCCGATTGGGGGCCTCTTGGGACTTCCCGAGAACCTCTCGGGGGAGGAAGCTCGGATTCTCAGTTCGTGTTTCCCTTCATGGGCCTCTCTTGGGGCCGTCTTGGGCGCCTCAGGCACCGCCTTGGGGCCCTCGTGGGCCGCCCAGGGCCCTCTTGGAAGCCTCTTCGGCTATTTGGAGCTGTCTTGGAGGCCTCTTCCTCCTCCTCGTCCCCCTCCTCCTCCTCCTCCTCCTCCCACTCCAGCTCTCTCTACTCCTGATCTTCCTCCTCCTCCTCCTCCTGCAGCGTGTTACGGAAGGCTTCCGCCGGAACATGCTGTGCACAAGTGCTGTCACTGCTCCCGCCGCCGTGCCCTGGGTGGTGGGTCAGAGGCCTCATGGGTGTTGGTTTGGATCTTGTGGTTGGCCTGTCGGGGACGTCGTGAAGGCAGTTTCACAGCTTCTCGGAAGCCGTTTTAGGACCGTTGTGGGGCCTCCTCGGGGCTGTTTTGTGGCCTCTTTAGGCCTCGTTTGGGCCTCCTGGGTGCCTCTTGGGGGCCTCCTGGGGCCTCTTGGAGGCTCCTTGGGACCTCCTGGGGCACTCTTCATTGGAGTCGTGGTCCCCGGGTCCCCCTCTTGGGCGCATCTTGGGGCCGTCTTGGGGCTCTGTTGGGCTGTCTTGGGCGACTCTGGGGCCGTCTTGGGGCCCTCTTGGGCCGTCTTGGGGCGCTCTTGGGGGCCTATTGAGCCGTCTTGGACCTCGGACGGCCGAAAAGGCTGGAAGGCCAAAATCGTTCGAAAACCTTCGTAAAATTGACGATTTCGGTCTTTTGAAGCGCTCTGGAGAGGCGTCTTGAAGCGTCGTGGAGTTTCTTGGGGGGCCTCTCGGGCCGTCTTGGGCCCATCTTGGGCGTCCTGGAGCGGTCTTTCGGCGACTCGGGGCCCGCTTGGGCCGTCTTGGGAGCCTCTGGAGGCCCTCCTGGACTGTTTTGGACTTCCCCGGCCGCCCCGTCCTCCCACGGGGGGTCGGAGGGGGCGGCCTCCGAGGCCCAGGACGTGGAAACCCTGTAAAAACACAAAAAGGAAAGTGAGCCACGGAGTCCCCAGGGGGCGCAGGCCCACTCCCGGCGGCCCGCCTCGGAGGCCCTGGAACGCCGAAACCCTGCGAAAACACAGGAAGAGTGAGCCCCGTGCCCCCCATACATACATACATACATACATACATACATACATACATACCTACCTACCTACCTACCTACCTACCTACCTACCTACCTACCTACCTACCTACATACATACATGCATGCATGCATGCATGCATGCATGCATGCATGCATGCATGCATGCACACATACATACATACATTCATACATACATACATACAAACATACATACATACATACATGCATGCATGCATGCATGCATGCATGCATGCATGCATGCATACATATACATACATACATACATACATACATACATACATACATGCATGCATACATACATACGTACATACATACATACATACATACATACATACAGTACGTTACGTTACGTTACGTTACGCTGCGTTGCGTTACGTTACGTTACATTACATTACATTACATTACATTACATTACATCACATTACATTACATTACATTACATACAGACATACATACATACATCTCTCGGTCTCGGTCTCGGAACGTGTCTGTGGCCACTGGAGGGGCCAGGCACGAGCAAGCGACGCCTGTCGCGATCAAATCAAAAACCCCCCTAGCCACGGCCCCCCCTTTCAGACGAAAAACGGGGGGGAGCGGCCGAAACGGCTCACCTGGATACCCCGCCCCTGGCCAGGAACAAATCGTTGCTCTGTCGCAGGGCCAGAACGGGAAGGGACCGGCGGCCTCGGGCAAGCAGCATGCGCCCCAGCGCTTGCTGAGCCGGCTTCCGAAGACGAGAGATGGAGGGTGGAAGGCGGCAAGACGGGGCAGCGGGGGAGACGAGAGGGACGAGGGAGGGGCGGACCAAGGAGAGGGGGAGGGAAGGGGGGAGACAGAGACAGAGGAAGCAGCAAGGGACCAGGGATGCCAAGGAAGCGGCGAGAGTAACAAAGAAGCACTTGCACAATCATGTCAGATTGTCGTCCCTACTGTCTGGATCTCTGGATCCATCGGCGTGAGACACAGAGCAACGGGAATCAAAATCTGGCGGGGCATTCCTCTACCAGTCCGCAGAGGACCTCTACCGCAGCTCCCTCAGACGGTCCAGCCGGTTCTGAAGCTCACGAACGAGAGAGCCGGAGGCCTCCTGGCCGGTCTTGCGCTTGGCCCCTGCGGCCTCGAGAACCTTCACAATGGCATACATTATGGGAGCCATCTCCGGGACGACCGCGAAGTGAAGCTTCACCGAGTGCTTGTCGAAGGCCTTCCTGAACTTGCAGAGATGCACGCGCTCGGCGAGGTAGGTGGTCGTCGTAACGGCGGCGTGGTGCTCCTTCAGTATGTCGATGGCCTGCTTGAGCTCAGGGCCGTGGTCGGTTTTCACGATGGTGTCGACGATGCGCGCCCAGAGGCGCACCTGCTTGTTCCCCGCCTCGGTCGTGTCGGCCTTCTGGTCCCGGAGCTCTTTGAGGCGCTCCTCGAAGGATGTCATTTCGTTCTGGCCAGCTTCAATGATGGGGTCCGTCCTCTTCGCGACGACGGTGGTGATCGTGGCAGCCCGCAGCTCGCGCACATCCAGGTCCAGCTTCAGGGCGAGCTGGGCCACCAAGGTCAAAATTTCCCGTTGGAGTTGGGCCTGTGCCTGCTCCTCTGCCGCACTGCCACCCACGCGCTGTCGCTGGGCACGGCGGCCATCAGCCGGCGTCAGGAGGGCGTCCATCCGGCCGGATGTGCACGAAATGTCCGGATATATGCTGCTGGAGTTCTGGCAATCGAGCACAAGTACGGCTACACAGGGGGCAAGCGAGGCAAGAAGGAGGATGAACATGATGATGAGTAGCACTCCCTCTTCCCACACAATACCCTCTAGCGATAGTTTGTCGTACATGGTACTGCGCAACTCGCAAAGATGCAAAAACCTTCCGGCACCAGGGGCACTGGTTTGTGACTGTGGCCAGTGTGGATTGTAGAATTTGGCCATGGCCTTCGGATTGGCTGTGAGCTTGGTGCACTGCCAGGCTCTGCGCAGTCGGAA